GCCGCCCCGCCCCCCCCCCCCTCCCCAGTTGTTGGATTAAAGGCGTGCACCACTGTGGCCCTGCTGCAAAGGTTTCTTTAAGAGGCAAACTGTACCCACTTCCCCTCTCCCTCTGCCATCTGAGAAGGCAGACAGATCTCTCTTTTCTGTCTTACTCTCTTTCCTCTCTCTCTCTGCCTTCCCCTACTCCCTTCCCTTCCCAATAAAACTTCCTTCCCATGTAAGTTCTGCCTGATGGCGTGTTTGTTCCATGCCATGGGATCCCCCATGGTCCCACCTCCAGTCGTATTATATCAAGGAGCGGGCCTCAAATCCCTTGGGACTGAGGTTACAGACAACTGGTTGGGAGCTGCCATGTGGGTGCTGGGAATCTAACCTGCAAGAACAACCACATGCTCTTAATGACTTTAAATTATTTTTTGAGACAAGGTCTTACTGTATATAAGAACACTGCCTGTCCTGAAACTTGCTATGTAGGCAAGTCTGACCTCGAGCTCACAGAGATCCTCCTGTCTCTGCAGCTGAGCGCTGAGAATAAAGGTGTGTGCCACCATGTCCAGCATGAGCAACATCTTAAAAAATAACAACTTTTATTTATTCATAATGTATATGAGCATTTTGCCTGCAAGCATGTGTATGTATCATATGTGTGTCTGGTACCCCTGGAGGCCAAAAGAGGGTGTCAGATCTCCTGGAACTGGAACCAAACCTAGGTCTTCTACAAGAGTAACAACTGCTCTTAGTGGAGGAGGCATTTTTTCCAGGCCCAAATGTCTATGTTTTGAAGTAAAGACAAAAGGCGCAAAGGAAATTATGGGCTAAGATACTTGGGCTAGAGCATATCCTATAGTAGTTTTTTTGTTTGTTTAGTGGGGCTGCGCAGGGGTAGTTGAGACAGTGTTTCTCTACATAGGCTGTCCTGGAACAATGTAAAACAGGGTGGCCTCAAACTTACAGGGAACTCTTTCTGCCTCTGAGTACTGGGATTAAAGGCATTTGCCATCAGGACTCCTGTAGTGGTTTTATTTTATTTTTCAGATGGCCTTACTATTTAGCCCAGGTTGGCCTTGAACTTCAGAACCTCCTGTCTCAGACTCCACAGTGCTAAGATTATAGGCCTTACCACCACGCCTACGTGGTTTCTTGTTTTTTGTTTTGTTTTTGTCTTTGCTTGCTCTCTCCTAAAAAAGATTTTTTTAGGGTGTGTGTGTGTGTGTGTGTGTGTGTGTGTGTGTGTGTAGATACATGCATTTGAGTGCAAGTGCCTGAAAACATCCAAAAGTGGGTGTCCAATTCCTTGGATATGGAGTTGTGGGAGGTTGTGAGCCTCCTGACTGGGTGCTGGGAACCAAATTTAGGTCTTCTGCAATGGGAAATAGTTATGCCACCCAGTCTCTCCCCCGTTTTTGAGACAGGGTCTCACCTAGCCTCGGCTGGTCTCAAACTCTGTATGTGGCTGAAGCTGCCCTTTAATTCCTGACCCTACCACCTCTTCCAAGTGCTGGGATCATAAGCATGTGCCACCACTCCCAGTTCAAACCTCTCTCCTCCCTGACAGATTCCAGGTATCCCAGGCATCCTTGAACTTCCGTTCTTACAGTCTCCATCTCCTTAGTGCTGGGATTAAAGGTGGGCACCAGTACCAGGGCTTTAAATCTGCCTTTTTATTGAGATGTGTTCCTTACAAAACCCAGGCACACATCTCTTGCCATCCGTCAAGGCATCTATGTGGACTGTTGCTGACCACCCGCCGCCAAACTTGGACGACAGTAGGGACTTACCAGACCACATCAAGACCAGGCGGGTCCACATGGACCGTGGCCCGGCCACGGTTACGGGCCTTGGGGCTGGGAATTGTGCCAGCCGCCCCGGGCCAGGGGAGCCCGGAGCTCTAAGCAAGCATGAATGTACAAGGAGGGAGAGACCTCATGGTCCCAACATGCACCGCGTGCCTCCTACGTCACTACAGGGCCACTCCTGCGAGAGAAGCGCCAAAGGCTTTCGGTTGCCAGGTAACAAGGCAGCAGCTCTCAATCAACTGCCAGCTTTTGGCTGAACGCGGGAAAAGGAGATGCAGGCGATGAGTCTTAGGAGTAGTTTTTTCTTTTATTCATTTTCTTTTCGTTTCCTTCCTCTTCCTTTCCCTTCCCCTAAAGTCCTCTTTCTCTCATTCCACATCCTTTCTCCTTCCTGTCCTTTTCCCATCCCCTTTCCTATACCCTTCAGCTAGGCTTACGGGCCAATGAAACAGTAAAAGTAGGAAGCCAGCCAGTGTGTACCCCTCCATCTTCCACAGCGAATGTTTCTTGCTGCTGCTGAAGTTTTGGACATCAGACCCTAGCTTCTCCAGACTGACTGTGACTGGATCATCTGTTCCTCTTATGATTTTTATTAAAAATATTTACTATGTACAACATTCTGCCTGCATGTGTCTCTGCACACCAGAAGAGGGCACCAGATCTTGTTACAGATGGCTGTGAGCCACCATGTGGTGGCTGGGAATGGAACTCAGGACCTCTGGAAGAGCAGCCAATGCTCTTAACCTCTGCACCATCTCTCCAGCCCTCCTATTTTTAGTAAGTACAAAGCAATGCTTTTTTAAAGTGGTTTTTGAAACAGCTTCATGTAGCCCAGGCTGGCCTTGAACTCCCCATGTAGCAAAGATAATGTTGAACTTCTGATTTTCGTGCCTCTATCTCCTAAGGGCTGGGGTTGCAGCCATATACCACCGGCCTAGTTTTATGAAATGCCAAGAAGCCTGTGGCGTTGAGCATGTTAGGAGAGCATTCTTTCAACCATGCTATACCCACTTTCTGTGTAGTCCAAACTGCTTTCAAATGGGTAATCCTCCTGCCTGTTCCCAATGCTAGGATTACAGGTGCACAGTACTATACCTCTCCTCCCTCACCACCCCCATCTTTTGCAGTGCTGCAGATAGAACCCATAGGTAAGCACTCTGCCTTTGAGCCACCCCTCTCCCCCAGCTTACAAACTGGGGAGGGGGAGGCTGAATAAAAATAGCCCCAGTAGGCCCACAGGGAGTGGAACTATTAGGTGTGACCTTGTTGGAGGAAGTGTGCCACTAGGCTTTGAGGTCTCAGAAGTTCAAGCCTGACCATGCTTTCTGCTGCCTGCAGATCCAGATGTAGAACTACCAGCTAACTTTCCAGCATCGTATCTGCCTGCATACCACTGTACCTGTCTTGATAATGGACTAAACCTCTGAAGTATAAGCCAGCCCTAATTAAATGTTTTCCTTCATAAGAGTCGCCACGCAGAGACAGGTGGATCTCTATGAGTTCAAGGACAGCCTGGTCTACACAGAGAAACCCTGTCTCAAAAGAAAAACAAAAATGTTGCTATAGTCATGGTGTCACTTCACAGCAATAGAAACCCCAAGGCACAAACCAGTGTATTTTGTAACTAAGTGTACTTTTTACATTTATGTATATGCTTTTCTGTGCACACACCAGGCATGTGCAGGTAGCTGGAGAAGCTAGAAGAGAGGGTGCAATCTCTTGGAGCTGAACTTACAGGCAGTTGTGAGCAACCTGATGTGGGTGCTGGGAACTGAGCAGTGCGTGCTCTTCAATGCTGAGCCACCCCCCCACACACACACACACCTTTTCAAGACAGGGTTTCTCTATGTAACCCTGGCTGTCCTGGCACTCACTTTGCAGACCAGGCTGGCTTCAAACTCAGAGATCCACCTGTGCCTCCCAAGTACTGGAATCAAAGGCCTGCACCACCACCACTGCCCAGCTCTTTTTTATATTTTTTTAAAAAATACTTATTAAAAAGAAAGCTTGATTAAAAAAAAAAAAAGGAATGCAAGTTGGGTGTGGTGGTACATGCCTTTAGTCCTGACACTCAACGAAGACAGAGGCAGGTGGGTCTCCAAGTTCAAGGCCAGGCTGGTCTACAGGGCAAGTTCCTGGACAGCCAGAACTGCACACAGAAACCCTGCCTTGAAAAGCAGAAACAACAAAAATCTGTGTATTTTATGGGTATGTGTGTGTCTGAGTACATGTAAGAGCCTGGGTATGTAAGAGTCTGAGGAGGCCAAAGATAGTGTTGGATACCCTGGAACTGGAGTTACAGTGGTTGTGAACTGCCATGTGAATCCCATGTATTTCAGAACACAGAAACAAGACAGTGGAGCCCAATCCTCAAGGCCACTCTATTGGCCCTTTGTCATCACTGTTCTCCATGGCCAGGCTGACATATTTATTGGAAAAGTTGAAAACACAGATGTAATGCATTATACAAAGAAAGGTCTTCATTCCATAATAAAAGTACTGTTGGGAGAAACAAGAGCCGGTGGCACCTGCCCTGGGAAGGTAGGCACGAAGTGAAAAGTGAGATTCACTTATAGGGACTATTCTAATGGAAAACTGCGAAAAAGGTTAAAAACAGAAGGGGGGCATAAACAAACAAAGACCAACCCCATCCCTGAACATTTGAGAGTCTGTTATAAGCTTGAGACATTAGGTTATCACCAAGATTTAATGGGGTTCCTCGGTTTGTCCCTAGAATGCTAATCAGTTTAACTTAGGGTCTTCAAACCTGAGGTAGTTGAGGGTCACCTGAAAACATGTCTGGAAGGATCTATATGCTCAGAACTGGATCCAGTCACATCTAATCAACCACTTCTGGCTTTGGCTCCTAGGAGAGGACAGTCCAGTGTTTGGGCTGGACTCGAGGGACAAGGGTGGTAAGTGGCTGTTCTGGATTTCTGCTGATGGCTGCCAAGTGCTTCGGTGAGTTTCCAATCTGACAGTGTGGTCTCTGAGAACCCGAGAGGTGGAGAGAGGGCAAAGCCACTCTATTTGGAAGGCCAAGATGGAGGATCCAAGATAGTGGAGAGAGGGCAAAGCTGCTCCAGTTGGAAGGTCAATGTGGAGACTCCAACAACAGGAGAGTGGGCAAAGCTCATTCTGGTGGGAGGATGATCCAAGAAGGCAAGGCCACTCTTATTGGCAGGTCGGTGTTGGACCCAAAGACTTGCTTTTCTAGCAAAGTTCCCAGAGATATGGAAAGGCAATAGAGAGTAGCACATTTGCCGGGTATGAAAAGTTAGGGTTAAATTGGGTAGTGGCAGCCCACACCTTTAGTCCCAGAAGTTAGGAGGCAGGCAGATCTCTGTGAGTTCAAGGACAGCCAGGTATGCACAGAGAAACCCTGTCTTGAATCACCCCAACACCCCCCCCCCCCAAAAAAAAAAAATTAGGGTTAAATGATGCTGGAGACCTTTCTACAACCAAGCCACTAAGCAAGAAGTAGAAGCTTCCCCCAGACACAAGATGAGAACTGATTCCTTCTAAGATGAGAGAGGTCATAGCAGACTAATGTGACCAGAATGATAATTACTTGTAACCTCAAGTTACCTAGTATTAAGCCTGATGTCTGACTCATCAGCTACACCCATTGTGGGACAGGACTTTGGTTCTCCCAGTTACAGGGTTAAGGGCCCATATACATGTCAGATTCTAGGAACAGTGCTGTGGGCAGTACAGTCAATGAGCCATTGAAGTTATAGTCTTAATTTAATTTTTGGCTTTTTTGAGATAAGGTCTCAGTATATAGACCAGGCTAGACCTGAACCCATGATCCCCCTGCCTCAGAATGCCAAGTGCTGGGATTGTAGGCATGTGCTGACAAGCCTGTTACAGTCATTTAAATTCTTTGCTCAATTATGAACTTTACATAACACATACCCTTAATCTCGAGGTACTAGAAAGCTGCAATACCAAGTTAAATATGAGAATGCACCTGGATCCAAGTGTCTTTTTCACCCCACCTAAGCCATTATTTTGCCAGTTTTCTGTCTTGAAAACATATTTTTGAGTTATTTTTACTCAGATGTACATGCATGCATGCATCTGTATGAGTGCATGCCACTGGTAGAGGGTGTCAGACCCCTTGGAGCTGGAGTTAAAGGTGGTTGTGAGCCACATGGTGTGGGGTCCTCTGTGAGAAGGACACACTCTTAACTGCTGAGCTATCTCTCTGGACCACCAGCTCCCTGTCCCGAGGATCTGTTGACACTCATGCAGCAGACCTCAGTCTAAGGAGCCCCAGGAAGGGTTTAAAAAGCTGTGAAGTTCCTTTTGAGCTCTAAGAATTTTCAGATTCTGGTTTGTCCAGCCACCGGGTTAAAGACTAATGTTTAGGTAGCAGCAGTGCCAACAGATTACAGTGTAGGCTAAGTGAGACGGCTCACACCTTTAACCCCAACACTTGGGAGGCAGAGGAAAGGAGATCTCTGTGAGTTCAAGGACAATGAGGTATCCCTATCTGGTTTCAGGTCAGCCAGGGCTATATAGTAAGACCCTGTCTTCAGAAACAGTTATATATAAGCCGGGTGGTAGAGGCACACATCTTTAATCCCAGCATTTAGGAGGCAGAGGCCAGCCTGGTCTACAGGGCAAGTTCCAGAACAGTGAAAGCCCATCTCAAAAACACAAAAAGTTATAGTCTATAATACACACATATATAATCTAATTACACTTAGTGTTTTGTGAGAAAAGTATGTAGCACAGGTTGCCTTTAAATTCAGGATCTTCCTGCCTCAGCCTCCCGAACGCCAAGATTACAGGTATGCATTACCAAACCTGGCTAGAGAAAGGCAGTTTCTGACTTGAGTTACACACTAAAAAGTTCTGATACAACACTGAGCAGGTAGGAACCTTGTGCTGTTGACCTACCTTGTGCTGGGGCTCTTGACTGTTTTGCTACTCAGGAAGAGATTAATAGAATTTGAAAAATGACTGGCTTTTCAGACAGATGTGTTATTCATTCAGAGAGCCCTGCTCTATTGCTGTGCATTTGATATCCTCCTGCTGGGACAGAGGAGTGTGAATGGGTAAACGCTAGAAGCAAAGACAAACTATGTTTAATAGACAACCTTGGAAAAGCTGACCTCAGGTGAGCACATGGATTGGCCTGATTGGCACAAATGAGCCAGCAATGCCACACACTGTTTGTTCTGGTCCTTGGACTCAAGAAGTGCTAAGCAGAGAAACATTCTCCTGGCACTAGAATGGGCCGTTTCTACTACAGGAACCTCCTTTAGCCCAATGTAGAGGTCATATGTCTCAGCAGACATCTGGGTTGCTGGGAGGTTTTGGAGTGCCAGCTTAGAAGATACTGGGGGACAGAGTGGGAGGGGTGGAGCAGGAAGAAGAAGGGGGTTGATTCACAGTGATCAAACATTAATTAGTCTCACAGCCCATCACCCAGCAAAGCCGAGACATGCCCCACTGGGGACAGATTCAAGGAAGTGCTTGCTGGCTGCCACCTAAGAGTTACAGATAAAGGAGGAAGACACCATCTACCTGCCCCATCCTAAAGATCACAAGGTCACTTAATTCAGCGGTACATTTGAGAGTGGCAAAGTGCTGTCCGGCTGCTTGTATCTAGGCAGGATGCCTTCTGTCCCCATCCTGTTGTCGTGGGAGCAAGAGCGGGTAGTGATGGGATGGTGTCATAGCCAGTGGCCCCCTTTCTCCTTTTCCCTGCTCTGCAATGCGTCAAGGAACCTGCCTGTTTTGGACTCCAAGCCCAGAAATGACCAGCGATGGCTCTTTAGTCTTATCTGTGGCCTGTGAAGACTGATGGCAGAGGGCAAGCCTTACCAGACACCCTCAGTCATGACTGCTCCAAGCATCTCTGGGGCAGATGTTGCATGAAGATTGTTAGTAATAAATATGAAGAGTCCTACCCCGAGCCGAGTTCTCTTCCTGATGGAAGCAAGTGGGTCTGTTGAACAAGTGGCACAGGCAACCATCTTTTTCTGGTTCAGTAGGATGCAGAAGCAGGTGGTTAGAACAGGAACCACTTCCAGGTCCTTTATGTTTGTCCCTCCTAGGGCCTTGCCTAGGTTTGACAGAAGGTGGCCCACGTGACATGACACAGGAAGTTTGTTCTGGGGATGTAGTGTTGCTGTTCACATCAGCCCCATTCCAGCATGTGATGGGGTGGTAAACCTGGTCACATGAGCTCTTAAGAAAAATGTCCCCTGAACAGCTGGGCCCCTGGCATCTTGGCTTGTGAAGGTGGACAGAGGCCTCGGGATGGCACCCAGGGTCAGAAAATAAAGGCACTAGCTCTGCTTCAGACTTCAGAGGAGAGCTGTCACCCTGGGGGAGCAGACTTGGCTGACAGAAGAGCTGAGCTGGAGCACCAAGGCGTAGCCTGAGCCGCACCATGGTGTGTGTTGGGGTTTCCTCTCAGAAGGCTCAGAGCTCAGGGTGGGGTAGGGGTTGGAACCCTTTTTGGGAAAGTTGGCTGTGTGAAACCTTCAAAATATAAAACCAAAAGACCCAAATAACTACCCAATAATAAGCAGGAGGGGATCCATGGAAATGCCAAAAGTGTAGTGTGGAGGGAGAGCCATTGCTTTGGCATGCTCCGTCAGACCATTCGTTCCCAGTCTGACTGGATTCAGATGGCAGTCTGGTTTGGAATCCAGCGGAGTTCAGATGCTCAAAGTTTGTGCAAATGACAAAATGCAAAAGACTATGGAAAGGGGAAAAGAACAGGTGTAAGATGTCCCCTCTCCAAGCTCCCAATGACAAGGAGCCTCTCTAGGAAGGATGTGACTAGTGAGGACGTGGATATTAGGCAAGATAGGTTGGCCATGTCGCTGTTTTTCTGTGGACCTGAGCTTGCTCATGGCCAACCCTGGCCTGCCTGTACATCAGGGACATAAGGGAAGAATTCATCATGCATTTACACAGAGGTGGTGTCATGACAGGCATGATGGGCTTCAGCGTTTGTCAATAGAGAGGTCTGCAGGGACCTTGGTATGCCATGGTGGGGAGCGTCACAAACAGAAGGTTAACAGGGGTGTTGGCTTGGCTCTACTCTTTTTCAGGGATTGCTTCTTGAGCAGTAGGAGGTGATGCTTCTGTCCCTAAAAACAAAAACAACAAAACATTTCACACAGAACCTCATGCATACATGAACTCTTCATGCCAGGTTATCGCCACGTGAGACTCTCAAGTTCATTACTGCCATACTTTAAAAAAAAGAACCCTTTAAAAAATGTGAGCGTGTGTGTGTGTGTGCCTGCGTGTGTGCGTGTGTGCGTGTGTCCATCCATCCGTCCGTCCAGGATGGTGGTGGTGATTCAGTGTTAAGAGCACTGCCTGTTCTTCAGAGGACCCAAATTTGAGCTATAGAACCTACATTACAGCTCACAACTGTGTCTACACCCAGAAAATAAAAATAAATCTTAAAAAAAAAAGAAAAGAAAACAACAAAAGCAAAGTTAGCAACCTGGCTGGGCACTGTAGTGACTAAGATACAAGTTCATTGGTCAATGTGGAGGTTTTGTATAATACTCAGTTTTTTGTTTGTTTTTGGCCAGGTAGCCTATGGTTACTCCAAATCCTGAATCTTCCTGCTTCTGTCTCCCAAGTGTTAGGTTTGCAGGTATGCACCACCCAGGTTAATGCTGAAGCTTGGAAGCTTTGAAATTCTCTATGATATGTCCATCTTCAGGTTTAAAGGAGGGTGAGAAGGGAGAGGAGGAGGAGGAAGCGACAGTCCAGAGGGACCCATTCTGTTAAGGAAAGGCCCATCTCTTCTGCAGCACCAGCAGTAAGTACCCAAGGCAGGCTCACCTTCTTCCCAGCCTTCAGCAACACCAGCCAGCTCGTAGTGTTTCTTACGAAGCTCTCCTAGTTTTTGACGCTCCTTCTGCAGGTCATTTTCCAGCTCCAGCACCCTGACCTGTGGGAAAATGGTGTGAGACAGTCTACCATTGGTTTAATTTAGTTTAAGAATCTTAGCCTTTGGGGCTGGAGAGGGGGTCAGGGGTTAAGGGCACTGACTGTTCTTCCAGAGGTCCTGAGTTCAATTCCCGGCAACCACATGGTGGCTCACAACCATCTGTTATGAGATCTGGTGCCCTCTTCTTGTCTGCATGCCCTCTTCCATGCAGATATACATGGAAGCAGAATGTTGTATACATAATAAATAAATAAAATCTTTAAAAAAAAAAAAGAATCTTAGCCTTCTGAATAGTCTACCAGTGAGCTATGCTTCCACCTCTCCTCTGAGTCTCTCAGTCCCTGAAATAGTAGGGATTAGATCCAGAGCCTCATGTATGATAGCAAGTACGCTACCACTGAGCCACACCCCAGCCCCTCACTGGGAGATTCTAGGCAGGTGTTATGAGACCAAGTGCCACCAGCCCTTGTCACACACCTTGGGCTACTCCCTGGTGTCTCTGTGTCTCATATTCCTTCTTCCATCACATCCATGCTATTTCCACATCTTACTCAAATCCACTTGATTGACTGAGCTATCTTCCCAGCCTGAAATGAGCCTGTTAAGGTTCAGCCCAGCTCCTAGTTTAATTCTCTCTCTCTTTTAAAGATTTTATTTTTATTTATTATGTATACAGTCTTCTGCCTGCAGGCCAGCAGACAGCACCAGATCTCATAATGGATGGTTGTGAGCCATCATGTGGTTGCTGGGAATTGAACTCAGGACCTTTGGAACAGCAGTCAGTGCCCTTAACCTCTGAGCCATCTCTCCAGCCCTTTAATTCTCTTTTGAGATAGGGTTACACGTAGCACAGACTGGCCTTCACCTCCCTGGTGCCAGGATTACAGGTGTACAACACAACATTTAGCCTTCTCTCCCCTGTTTTTCCATTTTTAATCATGTGTACCTATGTGGGAGGGGGGCATATGCAAGGGAGTACAGGTGCCCACAGAGCCCAGAAAGTATTGGATCTCCTAGAACTGGAGTTACAGGTTGTTGTGAGCAAAGTCTCTTAACTGCTTTTTTTTTTTTTTTTTTTTTTTTTTTTTTTTTAAATTAAGAGTCTTACTATGTAGTCCACACTGGCCTTAACTCATGGCAGTCCTCCTGCCTTAGCACCCCAAGTACTGGGACTTTTGCATGCATACCCACAGCTGGCTTCATTTTCCCCTGTGCTACTGTCTTTCTTCCTGGTTTCTCCCGGTGGGGGGTGGGGGGAACGATACTGATACTTGGGATTGATGTGCAGGGAATGGAGACAGCCTGACCTTAGATGTGGCCATGGTTTTCTTACCTGAGAATCCATCTCCTGGCGCTTAATCTGGGTCAGGGTCATGCTTGAGAAGTCCATACTGTCTGTAAGGGTGGATACAGGAAGATCCAGTCAATCATGTCCACAGCTGTCACTTAACTGTGAGGACAAGGGCAATTCTTTCCCCACTGCAGAGCTTCGCCTGCCCTTTGCCACCATAATGGTTGCAAACTGAACTCTCCCCACAGGCTCTCATTTGGAGCATCTGTTCCCTAGCTGTTGGTGTTATTTTGGGAGGCTGTGGAATGTTTAGAAGGTTGGGCCTGGCTGGCAGAAGTAGGTCCCCAGAAACTTGCCTTTCTTTGTGTGTTTATTAGTGTGTATACAGGAGCATGGCAGGTCTGTACATGTGTTGAGGGTCCCAGTGAGACATGTCACCACTCCCTGGATGAGATGTACAATCACTATGGAAACATGCCTTGGGGTGTGTTTGTGGAGGAGTTTCTAGACTAGGTTAACTAAAGTGGGAAAACCCACCTTAGATGTAGGCAGTAGTATTTATTCCATGTGTTGCGTTCTGGACTGAATTAAAAGGAGAAAAGTGGAAACTAGGTGTGGTTGACTGTAATCCCAGCACTATGGGAGCAGAGGCAGGAGGATCTCTGTGAGTTTGAAGACAGCCTGATCACATAGTGAGTTCCAGATCAGCCAGGGGTACATAGTAAGACCCCATTTCAAAAAACAAAAAACAGACAAAAAGAGAGCAGACAAAAAGAGAGCTGTCAAGCAAGGTTCGGGAGTGGGGATTAAGTACCAGCATTCACCTGTCTCTGCTTCCTGACTCAACGTTACCAGCTGCTCCACACTCCTGCCTGCCACTGTGCCTTCCCACCGCCATGGACTGCATCCTCACACTGAGCCACAATAAGCCCTACCTTCTTGATGCTTTTTTTTTTTTTTTTTTTTTTTACACATTTATTAGTGTGTGCACACACACACACACACACGCATGTGTCGTGTGTCATGCTGTGAGAGTGGAGACAAAGAGAGGTCAGTACTCTTCTACCACGCGGGTCCTGGGCATGGAACACAGGTCATCAGCCTTGGCAGCAGTCACCTCTCAGCCATGCAGCCCAAATCCTTCCTTTTTAAAAGCTGCTTTTATCAGGGTCTTTGGTCTGTCCACAATAATGAGAAAATTAACTAATTCATTGGTAACCAGGGTCTGATTCTCTGGAGACAACTAGACCTCTAGTGACTTTTCTTTGACCTCAGGGAAGTATCGGGCAGAAAAATCTACTTAATAGCCTTCCACTCCAGCAAGGTGGTGGTGGCTCATGCGTTTAATCCTAGCACTAGGGAGGTAGAGGCAGGTGGATCTCTGAGTTCAAAGCCAGCCTGGTCTACAGAGTGAATTACAGGACAGCCAGGGTGGCATATTGAGACTCTGTCTCAAAAAGCCAGGGGGAAAAAGTCCTGCCCCAAGAGATTAGCACGGACGCAAAAAGACCGAAAGGACAACCTGCTTTGACACAAGCCAGGGAAGCATTCCAGGACTGAGCTATATCCCTGGATGTCTACACCCGTCCTAAGAATGTGTCTAGGAAGATCTGGGTAAGGTGGAACACACCTTTAATTCCTGAACTCGGGAGGCAGAGGCAGGTGGATCTCTGTGTGTTTAAGGCCAGGACTACACAGTGCGGTCCCGTCTCAAAGGGGCAGGGGGAGAGCTTGAGAGAGGAATAATGTTATGGGGGCGAATCAATAACGGGAGACCTGAACTCCGGCCCCACACACATTAGTAGACACGTGTGTGCATACCTACAAGCACACCACACATAAAAAAGAAAGAAGGAAAACGAATTTAGAAACACAGAACTACATTGAGATCACAGGGAAAGAGATCTGGAGTGGCTGAAAGGCTACCTGTCTCCTCAATCTGAGATTTGCCGGAGATGGTTGAGGCCACCACAGCCGCTGTGGCCTGGTTGACTCCCCGAGAGGCCTGCTGCAGCTGGGTCAGATTGAGGCTGCCCTTGTTAGCTTTAACCTGCCAGGAAAAGGATATTTATGTTCACAATACATCAGAAGCAGCAAGGATGCGACAAACAGCTGGCCTGGTGGCCCTCAGCAAATACGGACTGGACTGTTGTCACCAGTCAACCAGGGGACCAGCCCCTGACATGTCTAGAGTGGAAAGTGACCTCTGGCATATATATAGGTTGGGTTACTCTACACTCCGCTTGAACAGCTGTCTGCATGAACTTTTCCATGTGTGGAAAAACCTGGGATCCTAAGAAACAAGGGTAGAGTAAAGAACATTCATGGGGTGAAGTTCTGAGTCACTGGTGAGGAGACTGTGGTCAACAGCTTTGCAAGAAGGTTAAATGGGGTAGTGGTTCAAGTTCGGTGACACAGGAGGGGCAGGCTTTGGTCACATGGTCTGTAAGGGCCATGCCAGGTGACCTGTAGTCTGTGCTAAGCAGTTTCATTACCAAATGTTTTGTTTTGTTTTAAATATTTATTACATATACAGTGTTCTGCCTACATGCCAGAAGAGGGTACCAGAGTGAATTGTAGACGGTTGTGAGCCACCATGTGGTTGCTGGGAATTGAACTCAGGACCCCTGGAAGAGCAGTCAGTGCTCTTAACCTCTGAGCCATCTCTCCAGCCCCATACTTTTTTTTTTTTTTTAAACTCAGGGTCTCACTTCGTAGCCTTGGCAAGCCTGCAGCTCAATATATAGACCAGGTTGGCCTCGAACTCAGAGGTCCACCTGCCTTTGCTTCCTGAGTGCAGGGATCAAAGTTATATAGCCTGGCTAACAGATACCATGTCTGGTGAACAGATACTGTTTGGATTTTGGATATTAGTGATGGAACCCAGGGCCATGTGCTGTAACACTGAGCCACCCCCCAGCCCCTCACTGGGAAATTCTAGGCAGGTGCTCTACACTGAGCCACCCCCCAGCCCCTCACTGGGGATTCTAGGCAGGTGCTCCACCACTGAGCCAAGGCCCCTGTCTCTTGCCAGCAGATCTGGAGCAAGTACTTTGTTAATATACTATGTTCTCAGACCATTTTAAGTTTTTATTATTTTATGATGTAGTATCTATGTGAAGGTGAGCATGCCATGCTGTGCATGTGGAAACCGGAGAACAGCTTTGGGGAAAGAACAACTTATGGGAGTCATTTCTGTCATTCCACCATGAAGGTCCCAGGGATCAAATTCAGTTTATCAGATTTGTCAACAAGTGCCTTTTCCTAACTACGCCATCCCACAGGACCTGCTTAAAAATTTTATTCTGAACCAAAGTCTTGTTAGGTTGCTCAGGTTGGCTCTAAATTCACTTTGAGCTAGCCTTTAACTTTTAATTCTCCTGTCTCATCTTCCTAAGTAGCTGGATGACAGGTCTTCGTCAACCTGGTCCACTCAATGCTCCTTGTATGATGTCATTGTTACCTGGAGGCTGGCGTGCCTGGGACCTTCAAAAGCTGCCTAATGACAGTGACAACAACAAGAATGAGCTGGGGCTCCTTGCTGGCATACACTAGGCTTTTTAAAGAGGTTGCTTTGGAACCCTTGAGAGGCCAAACTTTTATTCAGGACCCAGCCAAGTAGGGCTATGGATTATCACCCGTCCTTGAGGCTGGTTCCTTGGCTCAAGTCCTCTCTAACTTAGCCTCACAGTGTGCTGGAGTACCCAGCACCACCAGCTGGTCTTACCTTGGATGCAGCCACAAGCTGGGCTGTGCTAGCAGCAATCTCATGTGAACACACCATCAGTTCCTCAAACTTCCCTTTGCCTTGGACCACGAGATCAGCAGCATCCCTGAGAACCCAGAAGAGACAGGAAGGATGAGGTTGCAGAGAGCAGAAACCATCAGGATCCCATAAGTCCCTGGCCAGACAGGAAAGGCAGCCTGTCCACTCCTATGTTGTCCTGGGAGACCCTAGGTCCCTTTCACACTTCCAGTACTAGTCACTTGGTTTTGTATTTATTTGTGTATATATGCATAGGTGTGTGTGTGTGTGTGTGTGTGTGTGAGAGAGAGAGAGAGAGAGAGAGCGAGAGAGAGAGAGAGAGAGAGAGAGAGAAGAGAGAGAGAGCATGTGGAAGCCAGAAGTTCACCTCAGATATCTTTCCTCAGGTGTAGTTTGCTTTATTTAAAAAAAATTCTTTTTTTTAAATTTTGAGATAGGATTTCACTATATAGCCCTAGCTAGCCTCAAACTCACAGAGCTGCATCTGTTTTTGCCTGCCAAGTGCTACGATTGAAGGCATATGATCTTTCTTTTTGTTTTTCGAGACAAGGTCTCATTATATAGTTCTGGCTGTCCTAGAACTCACTCTGTAGACTAGGCTGACTTTGAATTCATAGAGATCCACATAGTCTCTGCCCCCTGAGTGCTGGGATTAAATGCATGTGCCACTATACCTGGCTGAGACACTGTGTTTTTGTTTTTGTTTTATTCCGAGACAAGATTTCTCTGTGTAGTCCTGGCTGTCCTGGAAGCAGCTCTGTAGACCAGGCTGGCCTTGAACTCACTGAGAACCGCCTGCCTCTGCCTCTGTGTCTCAAGTGCTGGGATTAAAGGCTCGAGCCACTAATGCCCAATGAGACACTGTCTCTTCATAGGAGTTGGGGCTGGCAGATTAGACCTAAACTGGCTGGCCAGTGAGTTCCAGGCATCCTTTGCCTCTGCCTTCCCAGTTCTGGGATCACCAATGCATGCCACACATATGGCTTTTTATGTGAGAGCCAGGGATTGAATTGAGGTCCTCAGAGTTACCATGCATGACTGCATGGCTGACCCATCTCCCAGCCCCACTTTCATTTTTAAAAACAATCTAGATTTTAAGAACCTTTTGGGTCAGGTATGGTATTGTACACCTTTGATTCCAGTGCTTGGGAGGCAGAGGCAGGTGAATCTATGTGAGTTCAAGGCCAGCCTGGTCTACATAGTGAGTTCCAGGCTAGCCATGGCCACATACACTCTATCGCAAAAACCGAAACTGAAAGACCCAACACCAACAGACGTTTGGGATGACTGGGCTTGGCAAATTCTCTACCATTGAACTACCACATCAGAACTTTGCTACTATATAGGGTTTGTCATATAACCCAGGGTGGCCTCAGCCTCTCAAGTGCAGGGGTTACAGGTGGGTACCACCACACCTGGCTATGAGATGGATACTTTTTTCTCCCTTAGCAACTGTCTGGGGTGACTGGAATGGGGAAGGGGATACGGGGAGCCTTGGAGCAGGACACTTACACCATGATGGTAGCTCCCCAGCCAACAGCTTTGGAGGCAGATATAAGCCCTTCTGTCCACCGTGAGTTCTTTGCATAAAATTCTTTATGGGATGCGGTACCCTATAGAAGCAAACATACAGCAGCTTGGTTGGTTGTTTTTATTTTATTTTAATCTTTAAACATATTTCACGTATGAGTATTTGGATTGCATGTACATGTACTGCATGTGTGCAGAGGTCAGAAGATCTGGAGTTACAGATGGTTGTGAACTGCCATGTTGGGTGCTGGGAACTTTAGTCCTCTGCAAGAGCAACAAGTGCTCTTAAGCACTGGGCCATCTCTCTAGCCAGGGGTTGTTTTTAGACAGGCCTATGCTATTCCCCAATTCTTAGTCTTTCTGCCTCAACCTCCCAAGTGCTAGGACTATCGGCATGTTCCACCATACCAGGTTTTTTCTTTTTCTTAAAAGATTTTATTTATTTATTTATTATGTATACAACATTCTGCTTCCATGTATATCTGCACACCAGGAGAGGGCACCAGATCTCATTATAGATGGTTGTGAGCCACCATGTGGTTGCTGGGATTTGAACTCAGGACCTCTGGAAGAGCAGTTGGTGCTCTTAACCTCTGAGCCATCTCTTCAGCCCCCAGGGTTTTTCTTTTAAATCATGTTTATTTATATATTTTGTGTGTGCATGTGGGTGGACATGGAACATGTATGGAGATCAGAGGAAATCTTTTAGGAATTGGCTATTTTAATCATGTATGATCCGGAGCTTGAACTCATGTTGTTAGGCATGGCAGCATCCTTTCCTTGATGAACCATATTGCTCGTCTACTACCCAGCTATTAACTGCTTTTGTTTGTTTGTTTGTTTTTTTGAGACAGGGTTTCTCTATAGATCAGGCTAGTCTCTGCCTCTGCCTCCTGAATTCTGGGATTAAAGGCGTGTGCCACCACCAACCCTGCTTCTAATGGCTAATTTTTTTAGAATGCCTAACAAAGTGCTAAATGCCTTTACTCTCACTTTAGGTATAAGAAAACTAAGATGCAGTAAGGCAAAATAACATCCCTAAGGTCTTGGAGGTATGAATTAGAGTAAATTCCCATTTACTCTAAGATTTATTTATCTATTATGTATACAGTGTTCTGTCTGCATGTATGCCTACAGGCCAGAAGAGGGCACCAGATCTCATTACAGATGGTTGTGAGCCACCATGTGGTTGCTGGGAATTGAAACTCAGGACTCTGGAAGATCAGCCATTGATCTTAACTTTTGAGCCATCTCTCGAGCCCCTAAACCCCCAGCTTTTAAAAAAGATTTATTTTTAACTTTTAATGTGTGTTTGTGTAAGAACATGCAGGTGCCCTGTGATGCTAGAGGCTCTGATGCTCACCACCTGGTGTGGATGCTGGAACTGAACTCAGACCCTGCAGGAGATCAGGAAATGCTCATCCATCTTTCCAGCCCATAACGTTTTTGATTTGAGATAGGGTCTAAATGCATAGACCAGGCTGGCCTTGAACTCACAGAGTTCTGCTTGCCTTTGCCTCCCAATACTGGGAATAAACCACGCATGATTTTATGCAGAGTTTGAGGTGAAATCCATGTTTTTATAGATGCCAGGCAGGGACACTCCCAATCGAGCTACATCTTCAACTCAGGAAGGGGGTTTTGAGAGAAGGTCCAGCTACGCAGCCCATGCCAAGGTCAAACTTGAGATCCTTCTGCCTCAGCTTTATGAGCATTTGGATTATTTAAGGGGTTAAGTATCTGCAGGTCTGGGAATCTATAGGGACCTGTCTCCCATGTCTGAGGGATGACAGTACCAGGTTTAATCCTGGGATCTGCTCAGTTTCCCCTTGTCCTCAGTTATTCCTGGAAGACCTGGGAACAGTGTCAGTGGGATTTCCACAGCAGGTCTGTGTGGCCTCTGGGAGCTGGGGCTAGAAGGTACTGACTGATTGCTTCCTGAGGGCAGCAACTCTCAAATTCCCACAGTGGCTGGGAAATTTCCCTAAGAATGGCAGATCTGCCGGAGATGGCTGCCCAGTGTAAACCCAGATTCCAGCACACACACGTGGAGGGAAAGGAGCTGACAGCACAGTGCCCCTTACCCTGCCGCTTTCCACAATCTCCTTCTGGAGGTCCTTGGAGGTCACAACGAGGACCTTGATGGCTTGCATCAGGCTAGTACAGGAACCAAGGATCCTAGTAAAAAGAAAGGGTTGGTGATTGGGACACTTCTTAAGTCAGGAAAACTGTGAGTAGCAATGAGGGGCAGGAAACGGGTTGGGATTGCTGGAGGACTCTGAGGCAAAGCCTTGGGGGAAAGCCTGCTGGTGAGTGATAATTCACTGTGGACCCTGCTTTCAGGGAACCTTGGAACCACAAGGCTGGCACTGACCTTTCGTTCACCTCCAACTTGACTCCTGTGTCTCCTGCTCGGGATTTACTGAGTATTTCCTGTTAAAAAGAAGGAAATACTTCTTTTTATTTATAAAGAAAAATGGTTTCTTTTGTGTGTGTGTGTGTGTGTGTGTGTGTGTGTGTGTGTGTGTTATTGGGAATTGAGCCCAGGCTTCCTGCATGCTAGGCAGGTGCTTTGTCTGATAAGCTACACCCCAGCCCCTCACTGGGGGATTCTAGGCAGGTGCTCTACCACTGGGCCACACCCCAGCCCCTCACTGGGGGATTCTAGGCAGGTGTTTTGATAAGCTAGATCTCAGTCCCTCTCTGGAGGAATTCTAGGCAAGCTACAGATTCCCACTCCAAGAAGCATGGTTTCCAAATGTATCATGAACCCGATCAACTACCACTGCCTTGATACGACAGATCCAACAATGTGTGGCAGCCTGGAAGGCTGAATCTAGCTATTTTCATCTCTGTCTTTGTGAGTCAGAAACCCCCAGACCTCTCATCTATCGATGGTAGACAGCTGGAGTTGACTGTTCCAGTCAGTGAGTCTTGACCTTGGCTCTCGGGCTGATGTTCATGAAACACCAAGAGCTGTGATACCTGACTACCAGGGGCTGCTGCTATCAAATCCACAAAGCAGGTGCTCACACCACAGCAGGGAGTGAGTCTTCTACCAAAGGAGAAGTCTCACTCACTCATATGAGTGAGACCCACTCAGTCTCTCCTGAGAAATTCTTTAACACCCATCAGGCCTCCTCTAATATCTTATTATGACAGTGATGAGCCGGGTGGTGGCGGCGGTGCATGTTTGGCAGAGGCAGGCAGATCTCTGTGAATTCGAGACCAGCCTGGTCTTCAAAGAGAGTTCCAGGACAGGCTCCAAAACCTACAGAGAAACCCTGTCTCGAAAAACAAAAAACAGAACAAAAAGATAGTGATGGCTATCTCTGTCAACTTGAAAACCTAGACTCACTCAACAAGACAGTCTCTCATTGAGTTGACTTGTGGGCACATCTGCCAGAGGGATGTCTTTTTTTTTTTTTTTTTGGTTTTTCGAGACAGGGTTTCTCTGGCTTTGGAGGCTGACCTGGAACTAGCTCTTGTAGACCAGGCTGGTCTCGAACTCACAGAGATCCACCTAACTCTGCCTTCCAAGTACTGGGATTAAAGGCATGCACCACCACCGCCCGGTTGAGGGATGTCTTAATTAAGTTAGAGGGATGTCTTAATTAAGTTAACTGATGTGGGGAAGACCCAGTCCACTGTGGGCAGCACCATTCCCTAGACAGGTGGCCCTGAACTGTGTAAGAGTAGAGAGATCTAGTTGAGCACAAGCAAGCAATCAAACACATATGTATTAATGCTCTCTGCTCTTTACTGTGGATGGGATGAGATGAGCTGCTTCCATCTCCTGCCTCTGTGACTTCCTTGCTCCTGCCATGGTGACGTCCCTGTAGTGCCCTCAAACTATAAATAAAAATAGGCCCTTCTTTCCTAAGTTGCTTTTCATTAAGATGTTCTATCACAGCAACAGAAATGAAACTAAATCAATGGCCATTCTACAGAAACAGAATCTAAATCCAGGCATAACTCACCTAAGTTATCAGCTAGCCTGGAAATTGAACCTGGGTGGCCTGACACCAAAACATCCAACCTCGGAGGAAACTGCTCATCTTTTTCCATAAGGACCTCGTTTTCTTCCCTTCATTGATGCAGTGAGTGACACTGGCCTCTGATTTCTCTTCCTTTTTGAGACAGTATCTCACATAGCCCAGGCTGAGGACAACCTTAAACTCATGAACCTCCTGTCCCCACCACCACACTTGGCAGTTCTGGCTTCTTTGGCAGGAGACTAAGACATTCCCAAGGTGCAGCACTGACCAAAGGAATTGATGGGAATATTGCTGTGGGAAATCCTACAGAGTCCTCACTGAAAGGTTCAGGCATTATGCTGGCCTGCCCCTGTTACCTAGTGGAATACACTCAGGCAATACCCTGGTCAGCCCAAGGTTCCATGGGAAAGAAGTCTGCACGCAGGTACAGAGGACCCCTTTAAAAGATAGGCTCTCTGCCCCTTTATGCTTTCTCTCTCTCTCTCTCTCTCTCTCTCTCTCTCTCTCTCTCTCTCTCTACCCCCTCTCTCTCCAGCGCCTCTCCA